ATATGTATACATCCATATATATATATAATGGGACATATCGTCTAGAGCGTAGAGTTGAACCCCAAGCAAGCCCTGCAGCTATTCTTGTTGAATTGAAGCTCAGTAGTCAAGCACTTCATGTTTCAATTTGCAACTATACGGAATACATATCTACATATATATAATCAATTTATACTTATAATATACACATATATTAAGGTTGAAAAGTGTCGAAAATGTCGGGCTACTGTACACAATTCAATACCTGAAAATACAATTGTCGAGTTGCATAATTTACGAGTAGTAAATGCACGGATATGCGAAGAGAAGATCGGATGGTTAAATAAATACAAAAACTTAACCCTTTTATTACATATATATCTTAGAATTCAAAGTAAGTCTATTAATCTTTTTAATATAAAACATTTCAACAATTAAAATAAATTACGAAACCAAAAAAAAATTTAGAAAAATAGTAACCAAAATGATGCTCTTGAGATATAAACTTTTAGCAGCCAGTTTTGTTTCTGAAACTTAACTGACCTGAACAAATTACTATATATATATATTTATGGTATTTCTCAGATATATATATAGTAAAAACTGCAAACAAAATTGGCTACTGAAACGTTTTGGCTTTGTAAAGAATTGAAAAAATCTTAAGGAAAATGGAATCCACCCACACACACACTCACAAATTATGTTCAGATGATTATGAAAGAGCACGGAATTGTTAAAACCGAAGGTAACTAAGTACATTCCATAAGAAACGCAAGCGCTATGAGGCATTCACAATTAACAGAATGTAACGAACCCAACGTTCACATACCGAAAAGCAAACCGAAAACTAAAGCTAAAAAAAAATATATTCACAAAAGAAAAAGAAAAATTAAAATAAAATATTAATGGAGTTATAAGTACCTTGAATTAGCTGGTAGAAACTTAACCAAAACAAAGTATTATTGCTAGAAAAAGAAAAATGAAAAATGAAAAAGAAAAAAATCAACTTTTAATTTGCAACTTAATTTTATATACCAACTGTCTATTTAAATGTTAAAAATAAAATACTTAAGTGTAAACAAAATATAAAAATTTGTTTAAACAACATAAGAAATTAAGAGTGGTATTGAATAAAAATAATAAAAAATAAAAGATCCATTGAACTATATATATAAATATACATACATATATATATATAAATATACATACATATATATATAAATAATTACATATATGAATGCCTAAGTAAATATATATACATATATACAATTATGAAAACTAACAATGTATGTATGTATGTATACATGTGTATATGCCCCGTGTAAATAAGGAGACAAGCTACATATTTCATATGGATGCAAATGAACGTTGAACGCGAACAAGAAATAATTATAATAGTTATTATACACCAACCAAAAAAACCAAAAAAAAAAAAAAAACTAACAAGTGATAATTTGTTTATATTTTTCCAATGTACAACAATTTGCAAACAATTTTTCATATAATCTTTTAATCTTTTATATCGTTTACTCGAAATTAACTAACTAAATTCTTAACATACATAAACATATCTTTGCAATTTTGCAACAATTATGCGTTTCTCTGAGCATATTTTTGAAAGTTTTAAATTTTAATATACAAAACTTAGTACTAAATACTTATATATATATATATATATATATATATATATATACTATATACATATATACGATATTATACGTAAGCCACAAAACTATATCACAAACATATCAGCGTATAGAAACTATAAATGTTATAAAACGCAAATTCAAGCTAACTGCAAATAGAGATCAGATTAATCTATATATAACCTATATCTGTAGGCAAATATGCAACATATCAATTATAAAATAATAAACAGACACAAATGAAAACATATCAAATATGCAAACAAACGAAAAATAGTAAAAAGTCACAAATAGCTAATTGTTAAAGAGATTTTAAAAACTAGCAACTGTTTCAAATAAAATTTTTTTTTTTTTTTTTCAATAATTTATTTTATTTGAAACTTTGAAGCTCTGCAACTTGTTTCAGCATTTTAAGCCCAAAACTGACCCAATATTTATTAAAATGCTGAAACAATTCTGCAAAACTTTTCACAACAAGTATTTAATAGGAAAAAGTATATAAAATTAATTTCATTTTAATTTATTTCATACTCGTTTTTTCTTTTTTTAATAAAATAGTTGCAGCCATGCGTACGTTACGTAACTGTATGTGTCAGTATTTCTATATTCAAATATCAATAGACATATCTGAAAATGTTATAAAAAGTCAAATAAGTATTGCAGCAAACAAGAGTTAAAATACTCTTCAAAAATCATTAAAAAAAAAATATATTTAAAAAAATGACATGAAGAAAAAATCAAATCAAAAGAAAACAAAACTTGAATTCAATTGCAAAAGAACAAAAACTTTAAACGTATTTTAAAAACAATGAAAAAATAAGATTATTAAAAATTCTATGTGTATATGAATATAGATTGAAATGCAGAAACCTAAATACAATTTTAAGCATTCCAATGAAGCTATTTCCTTGGTGTGCCGTTTTAAAAACAATCCAAATGTGTTTTATTTTGGGTAACTATGGAACTATACTTTCAGGAAACGAAGTCATATTAAATTGCATAATCTTCGTTTATGGTAAAGAAAAAACTTTGATATGATAGAAGACATCCATGTCTTTAAAGCTGCCCAATCTAACTACTCTTAAATATTGAAAAGTTTTTCTTGTAAGTTGTAGAACAACATATCATAGCATAATACATAGATGTATGGGAACTTCAATTTATAATAAAATTATTATGGTATAGAAAAAAATTGATAGAAAACATATCCATAACATATATATTCATATTTTATACTATGTGAGAAATATTTCATAATGAAGATTGTAAATTATGAACTTGACGAGTTCTCATGATTTGTATCTTTCCGAATTTCAATTAGTAATCATAATAATGTCGTCTGATTTCATTAATTAATTGAAATCGTTAGGTTTTTATGGGCTTTGCTTGTTTCAATATGTGCGCAAAGCAAGTTTGAATTCAACAAGTGCGATAAGATATAGCACTCCGTCTGTTTGGATTCCTACACACACAGACACACTCACACTCAGACAATCTCTTGCACCTTTACTTTCGCCCAAAACAAGTGGAAAGAGAATGAGAGTTGTTGAAACACACATTTTGATAGCATCTCAGTTAATAGAACAGCTGAGAGCTAGCCGAGTCGAGCGATCTCTTCGCAAATAGAGCATTTCGTATCTCTGTTACGTTTCGTTTTATAAGTATTCTAATCAGTTGGGAGACGTTTGCATTGGGTGTCTCATTTGTGCTTATGATAGCCTTGATAGTATTTGTATTTGCTCGCTGCTGATTAGAGGCTCTCAATAGTTGCTGCCTTAGTCGCATTTCACATTCTAACGCACTCGGTCAGCGATTTAGCGGCGTCTATCGCAGGTGTTCTGGTGTCTGTTACGATCATACAGCTCGCGTAGACGGTAATCTATCATCTTAATGATTGATTGGAAGGCCAATGACTTTATAAGGAATATCGGATTATAGCTATAGTGCAGTGTTAAAGCTAGACGCCTGCAGATTCAATTTATTTGGCTGCCTAAAAGTATGTGACAGTGTTGAGTAACGCCAAAAAAGCAAACAAAAAGTATATCAAGTATTATGAACTGTTCCTTAAATTGAATTCTGAAAAGAAAAAATACAAAATGCATGATCCCAGCGATTATGATTCAGTCTGTAGTGACGAGGATTTCATGAATGTTATACAGGGCGCTGCAACGCCCCCATTAATGAACTATGATGAATTTATGGTAAAAACCATGGGTAAGTATTTTAATTTTAAGTGCACAATCAGTTTATATTAACGTATAACATATATGGGTAGATATATATATATATATATATATATATATGCAGATATACGTCAGTCCACATTAGAACTGTCAACAGCTGTAGCTCTCTCTTATCTATCTGTTTGTCATGGCTTTAAATTTTGATAAAATACCGTCGTATACAAACTTTTGCATATGATGATGTGAAAAGTCAACCCATAATAAATATAAACTACCAGATAATGTTAGAACTCTATATGTAATACTTAACTAAAGACAATAAGAATCGAGAAATTAGCTCAAATATTATATGTAGGCTTTTTATTATATCTCTTATACAAATGCAAGTGAAAAGTACAAATTATAAATATTTACTGAGATACAAGCTATTTTCCAATTTGACTCTCCGATGCCTATCAATTAATTCCAATTCGATTTAAATTGATTGCCTTCTCTGCGAGCACCAGATCCATTTCCATTTCCATTTCCATTTCAATGCAACAAAATGAAATTGGAACTTTTGAGCTGCTGTGCTCTCAGCGCGCCTCCCAATGCAATCTGCTCTCAGAGCGCATGCTGTTAGTTAACAGCTGGGCCAGCAGCTTCAATGCCGAAGCCAACATGCTCTTAAGTTTCATTTTAACGTCAATTATATCATATCATAGAAATATATTATATAAATTGCAGGCTTATATTACATTTACTCCATATAACCATATTTGTTTATTTATTCATACGCAGAATATAAATAAACACATTGTGTTGGTAGGTCAAATAATAGCCGTGAGTAATGGTAGTGAATAATGGAAGCACCACCGTTAACAGTACCTTCTTCTGTGGCTTGCCCGCTCTTGCGTCGCTTAACAGTGCTGGCAGTTCACTTAGCTATTTTTATCCATCCCGATTGTGGTATATATTTCGATCAATATTAAACATTTTATATAGTTAAATAAGTATGATTTAATAAACGAAATGCTGTTACATTACAAGAGAATTATCAACAACAATAGACGTTGCTCATTTTGTGACATAGTAGCTGAAATGTCGTTGCTCACAAATTTAGCCGAAGTTTTTAGCTGGCGTTTTGTTGCCTCTCAAAAATAGCTGGCACTGCCGCTTGCTCTAAAGATCGGTTTGCTCCAATCAGACAGTCACGACAGCGCAGTCGCGCGAGAAACTTCGCTTTAAGTGCGCGGAAGGTTTTTACGTTTTTTTTTATGGTAGCGGTAAAACGAAACAGAAACAGAAACAATCAAAAGGTAAAGTAAAAAGCAAAAAAAAGGGTAGCTATAAAAACGCGTCGTACAAAGCACCGCCTCACACTGTAATATGCGCCATTAAAGTGGCTTTAAATGTTTAATTAAAAGTGTGTAATCCAAATGTGCGCTAAGCACAATGAGAATTCGCTCGTTTCGTTGGCTCAAAGGCTGTGCAAAAATTCAATTAAACGCGGACGCCGATGATGGCGTCAACGGCGCAGCAAGTTCAAGTGCAGAGTGATTGTGTTGTCGGTGCCAAGCAACAAGTTGCTTATAGAAATAACATAATAATCATAATCCTATTGTTTAATTAAAGTGAAATATACATCAAATATAAATATTTGTCGTACCTGCTTGACCGTTTGTGTGTTTATTTCTAGCGAAAAAACAAATTTTCTGTGGCATTTTCTGCCTTTAACTCTTTTTCTTGTTCCCACACATACATACACACTTAAACACAAATACACACACGCACGCATTCATATACATATAACATCACGCTGCCGCACACAGGCACACAAATTGTAGTTGTTTTTACTGCCTGATTCTTTGACTCACAAATTACCCGAGACGGCAACAGCGACGTCAGCAGAGTTAGCGGCAGCGAAACTGTTGTCTGTTCCACCATGCCACTGTTTCATATCTGGTTTTCCCTTTCCATGCGCGTGCTTGCGTATTGGAATGTGCTCACTACGTGTTCCATTTTACCAGCCGTTCCAACTCAACCTCAACCCGGTGTTTGTTTTCTGATCAAGCACCAGAACGGAAGAGCGCAAGAGAAACAACCACCTGTGTTGCTTCTCGCTCTCTCTCTCTCTCGCTCGCTCTCTCATGTGCTGCGATAAGGAATACACACATTGATAAAATGAGAAAAAAACGGGCTGCACTATCAAAATAAGTAAACAACAAACTAAAAGGCGTGTTAAATTAACCAAGCCACAACAAATGGCATGCAAACAAACTAGAAACTCATTAAGGCAATAGCTCTCTGCTGTTTAACGGTAGTTTCTTCTGCTCTCCCACTCGCTCGGTCGCCCCCTCGCTTAGCATTTGTATTTGTTTAAGTGTTTGTGTTTTTTTATGCTGTGCTTGACATTTTTTTTTCCATTTTTATCTTTTACTCTCTGTGTTTATTTTGCTTTTGCAAACATCAATTTCAAGGCAGGTACGCTGCAGGTGTCAGTTCTTATTTCTTGTTTCCCACCAAATTTTGCACCTCATATTTGTATAAAATGTTATTTATCCAGAAACCCACGAGCGCGCCTTTATTTTCAATAATTTCCGCGAAATATTACGAAATACAAGAATAAAGGGAGAAGCAAAAAACAAGTGAGAAAGTGAAAATAATGTCAATGAAATAATCATAAATAGAGTCTTACGACAAAGAGAAGTGGAATAAAGGCTATGTGATTCAGCAATTTAATACAATCAAAAATTTGGAAATAATCGAATTACGTGTTTTCAACCCAACGAAACTCGGGATCTAACCCAATTTTTATTAAGAGCGACTTACGAAAATGGAACCAGCAATTTTAATTGGTAAGCAATGGAATTAATATTATTATGAAAGTGAACTAAGAATATTTATAATATAAATTAATTATGACATCTTTAGAATTTCAATTACCAATCTCTTGATATTTAAAAAAATATAAAATTTAAGAATAAACTAATAAATTGATTTAATGTGTAAAATTGGGCGATAAGATATATGTATTTCTATATGAAATATGTAATAGTCGACTAAAAAATACACGGGACTATATTTCACTATATAATCACAGGAAAACAATATTTATTTAATACCATGATGAACCATGATCTCTAAATATCTATCTTTTGGATATTATCTTTAAAAATATTGAAAAGCAATAAATTTAGCTGTTTCTAAGATCATATTCGAGTTGAGATCGGCTACGTATAGATCACAGAATGTATATCATGGACCGCACAAAAAGTATTCTTTATGCATTAATATCACTGTAGCCCGTTCGTTATTGATGAGTTGCAGAGTTTATGGTGTCGATGTAATCAATATTGATGATCGCATTGCCAGAGAATTTGAATTAATGATACAGTAGCTGAAATCATAATGGCTAGCAAATTACGGCCTGCACTTAGGAAGTCCCATTGCAAATGGAAAACCATTAAAAAAACTTGAACTAACAAATTGCAAAGTTGTAATCTTGAGTTATACAGACAGCTGCATATGTGTGTATATGTATATGTGTATATCCATAAATTTTATGGGGCGCAAGCGTTTTTCACTCACATGTGCTCCACATTCAATTGAAGACAGACGTACGGACGGGGAGACTGAGAAACGGACAGTCAGTCATAGACACATGTGGCCAGATGCAAATGCGCATTCGCATTCCGCAGCAGTCAAAGCCAGCAGCAGCAGCAGCAGCAGCAGCAGGAGCAGCAGCAGCAGCTGGTTGTGGCAGACAAACCAGAGACAGACACAGACACAGACATGGACAGGGACATGGAGACAGAAGGCCCAAAGTTAAGCCCACACACACACACACACAGACACACATACACATAAATTGTGGCAAATGGCAAATACAAATTGCTGCGGCTCGATACCAAATCGAATCTCAATTACCGATAGACCCAAACACTCTGCCTACAAGCCTCACAGCGGTTGGAGCTCATTAGTGCGCGGGTTACGCAACGGGCAGAGGGACGCACACAAGACACACACATACATATGTACATGTATATATATTTGAATATTATTGTTGTCGTCGTGCTTATAGAGCGAAACCGCCAGCGCCGGCAATTGGACCACGCCCGCTAGTTGTCTGATCATTAAATGCTCAGTGAAACGAGCTATGCGAGAAATGCAGATGCCCACTCTCTGGCCGTGTGTGTGTGCGTGTGTGTGTGCGCTTGTGAATGGGGTGTGTGCCCGTGGCGGGCGTGTGCAACATGTGGTCGCAATTGCCAGTTCGATGCGAGCTGACAATTGTCAGGGCTGGTGCAAAGAAATTGTTTAATTTCTGAAGAAATTAAACTCAAATGGGGGCACGAGCTTTGAGCTTTTTGCGTAGTCTGCTGCTTCTTCTTCTTCTACTTCTTCATCATGTTCCTTGTCAATGGGGTTAATTTAATCGGGGTCTGAGTGCTTGTTAGGCACAGTCCCAAAGATAAACTAAATGATGCTTAAAGTGCGGTCACGCAATTGGCGCCAAACTGATGATTCAAATTAACTGTATTTACTACAAACAAACATATGTGTACATGTGTGTGTGTGTGTATATTATGTACATATATACATACATGTTTTACATATGCATATATATATTTATCGAGTTGCTTCCTTTCGACTCTCCCTCTCGCTCGCTCTCTCTTCCTTTTTAATTTGTATAACCAAATATTTTTGAAGCGCGGAATGTAAATATTACTATTGATATATATATATGTACATATATAATTCAACATTGCAGTCGAGCTTAAGCGGCTGCAGAATACTCGTTCAGGGCTTAGAAAAATTGCTATTTTGGCCAAGCCCCATGTGGCGTACCATATTACTAATCTCACGTTGAATATGGATTATATATATTGTAGGGCAATTCCTGTTTTGCTATGCCTTCATAATGCTTCATAATGGTCAACATATTCTTTTTCATTTCATAAACGAGTATACACTTCAATAACTGCATTTTAATATAAATTTTTAATTGAAAACAAAAAAGAGCAATTTCTTTGATAACATTTCGTAAATTGCAAGTTTAAAAATTGCATTCAATTAAAAGAAATATAAACTCAAAGTGAATATTGAAGAGGTACTTAATTAATTTTTGTCTGAAAATATATCAGATTTAATTTGTATTACATAAGGGGAAAGCAATAAGTAGAGGCTCTTCTGGGATAAGCGCACGTATCCCTACCGCTCTCTTCAAAGCCTATATTTTAATATTCATTTGGCTCAGTCTAAAGTACGCTCTTATCGTTAACAAACTTGTTTTACTAATTGTGTTCGAACGTGACTAGTTATTGCTCTGCGAAACTACATATGTATGTTTGTATAGGTGTATATGTGCGTGTATGTGTACGCGTATATAAACAAATACACAGCTGTGTGTATTGTATAAGCACTTGTAAGTTTGTTGTACGAACGCTGCTCGTAACTGAAAGTAAACATTGCACCGGCTGTCAACAGGCATTAGTAATGATAATAGTTAATAATAGTTAACGTTAGCTCCGGGCGAATGTTCTCCCGCCCAGCGAGGCGGGAGACGAGCCATGTCTAATTAGAAAGTTTGACTGGCCAATAAGGCAAATTGACTGGCCATATGGAGTGGCCAAGATATCAAGGTAAAAGCAAAAGCTCTGCTCACATCTCAAACTGAGTGAAATGCTTGCAATACTCACTTGACCATAAACGTTAGGATCCATTGACTTGGACTCGCAGCTTTGCCTTTTAACGCCAAGAGAGGCACGAGAAACCGCATTGAAGCGTCACAAATCATGGAGCTCGGATCGTATCGCTTTATACGTATATATACGTATATATATGTGCAGAAAAAGAAAATATCACAGTTTAAAGTTCCCTTTCTCTTTTATGATCCCATGTATACAGAAATAAAATATGCATTTACTTCATTGCGTTTGCCTCGATGCACGCAACATCAATCAATGTGACTGATAAGACGGTTTGAGTTATGAATTGAATTAATATTGAGGGTAGTGCCACAACGCAACTTGCTGCCCATACAAATTGATTGGCTACACACTGAGAGAATGATTGGGCCTGTGATGGCGATCTACAGCTGCGATGCACTGGGCTGGGGCTGGGCACGTGAAACCCGAAGATCGCATTCGCTTTGAAGTTGATAATAGATAAATTGATAGATCAATTACTAGCCGAGTTTGCGGCTTTTTAGGTATTTGCTCAATTCATTCAATTTACCATATATAAGTGCAAAAGTCTACAGAGTCCAAGCTGATCGCTGTAGATCTTATTGAGATCATCTTTCATCTGACGCTAACGATCGAATATTATGTCACCTGTCTTCTGTTTTCACAACAACACTACAAATATGGTATATAGTTCTCTGTTTTAATTTATACGAAAGCCAGACATTTCGCAGTTCATTTTATTGGGATCTGTCAGCTTTTATTTATATTTGTCTTTATTGCGACCTTGACTAAATTGCCAAAAATAATTTGTATTCATTTTAATTGCAAACATTCATTCATTTTCATTTATTTATTGGCTTTTTAATTATAGTTATAAAGTTTATATATGCTAATTTTATGTGTACATACATATATTAATATTAATATTATTTTAAATTTGACAAATTATAGGGTAATTCCTTACCATATTCTTTATATAACTATATATGCTATAAAAACAAGATACCATGGCCACTATATTGTTCAGCTCATCGAGGTGTTTTAATTTTAATTAATTCAAAGAAACTATTATAATAATATATTATTTATTACTAAAGTAGCATTAACTAGTAAAGTTAGTATAAATTTTCATAATTCCAAAATTGTTTAAGCTTAGGCAAGCCTTTGCATGAGACATAAAACTTGATTAAATTATAATAATATTCTTAATTCCATTATGTAATTTACATTATTTAGCCGTTCTTCTCTTAAAATTTGCAATTGCAATTATTTAATTGCCTATAATTTTATGAGACAGACAAAGCGATTGAGCGAGCATCATCTATATAATATCAGTTATCTTAAATTTATATAAATGTTCGAACAACTTGAATTTACTTGTCCAACAACTCGCCAACAGCGCATAAATTAATAACACATGACTGGAAATCATTCTCACGCTTCAATAGGAAATGTTACGGCTATGCCAGCTTTAAAAGTCCTATCAATTTAATTGCGACAATGGGAATACAAAAAAAACAAAAAACATTTTTAAAAATATTATAACATACATACTATATGTATATAGGAATCTATATACATTTATAAATATCTATCTGTGTGTATATCTTCGTAAATTGTTCATTTGACTAGTCAGACATGAACTTGGAGGCACTTAACAATCAATCGACTTAAGTGGACTTTAAAAAGCCCACAGAGAATCGAGACATTGCCAAGTGAATGTCAAACATTACGAACTGTAAATATTTCGACGCCTTACTGACGCTATTGGTATTAACAAAGAAAACAAGAGCTCGAAAGAAATGCTGAAGCTAATCGTTGGCCTTAAAGAGGTGCTAATAATAGCTGTTTAACATAGCTGTTAAATGGCTGTAGACAATAATTGTGTGTAATATATTATATAAAACTGTTATTTTTCTATGATATATATAAGATTCCATTTCAGTCAAAATTCGGTTAATAATCTTAATTTAATTAATTCATTTTTACTACAATCAATACCTTAAATCTTCGGCTGAACACAGAAAATATTTAATTTAAAAAAAAAAAAAAAAAAAAAAAAAAAATATATATATATATATATATATATATATATATATATATATATATATATATATATATATATATATATATATATATAAATATATATAAAGTATTTCAATTAGATA